TCTACCTCAGAGGGAAAAAAAAATCCCAGAACAAACAATCCAACAAAAGAGAACACAAACAAAAAGTCTTTGAAAATCAGGGAGGGACAAGTAAAACTTAGGTACAATCATTACTGAAGCAAAGAATAAAGGAATGAATATTAAATAAAATTGTTTTTCTCTTAGGGAACCGGTGGGAAGATCCTCTTGTGCTCCCGAGCTAAGTGGCAAGCTGGGGACTTTGCCACCTCCCTAGGCAGCAGTTGAGGAATGGTCCTCAACTTCTGGGAAAAGAGAAGGCTGATGGGGCAGTGATTCAAGCATGACGCCAGGATAATGACACATGAGATCAGGAAGTCAGCCCACTCACACCTCAACTTTCATGCTTGGGCAATGTCCTGGATGCAGACAGAAGCTCACAGGGAGCTCCAAGAACACTGTCCAGGACTAACTGGAGTTTCAGCCAGTAGGAAGAGATTCTTCCCTGTGAAGGAAATACAGTTAGAGACTTATAGGATATTTCAAACGGGATTTTAAATTAATTCTGAGATCTGGGAAGACAGCTCAGCCAGTAAAAATGCTTGCTTTGCAAACACTAGGATTTAGGATTTAAGTTCAGATTTCCAGAACTCATATGCTGGTCACCATTAACCCCTTCTCTCTCTCTCTCTCCCTTCCCCCCCTCTCTGTTTGGGATGGGGTGGGTGACTGTGTCAGGATGATGCTTTGGCTTTGGCTACCAGTCTAACTCTGGGTTCAATGAGAGATTGAGAGATCCTGTTTCTAGGGAAAAAAAAGATGAGGGTGTAATAGAGTAGGACATCCAACATCTGTCTACTTCTGTTCTTCATCATGCACAGCAGAACACACACACACACACACACACACACACACACACACACACACACCAATTCCTCTGAATATGAGCTTTTGTTCATGACTGTAAGGCATCATCATCGACACAATGGGCTTTTGTTTTCTGGGTGGAAATTATCATTCCTTCCAGACCAGTGGGAAGTCACTGGGGCCACTGCCCTGACTCCTTGAAAGGACTGTTTGCTGAACAGTCTACTTGTGAGGAGTCTCCAGACTCCGGTGGAAGGAGGAAAAGCCCTTGTAGCAGTTCTTGACTCATGTATTAATAAAGAGAGACTGACAGACTTCCAAGCTTGGCACACCCTCTATGAATTGGACTTACTGTCATCATCCCTAAGACTGCATGATGGTGAATCTGGGTGATGAATAAGTGTCAGACTATTGTGTGATGGTTGCTGAGGGAAAGCCAGTACTCTGAATAGTAGAGTTTTCTGTAGATAACAATGGACAGTCCTACTGTCAATCATTCTGGGGAGACATGAGTGCCAGGATTAGAAGTGAGACTCTTGGGTTCCATTACAGAGCAGAATGAAGGAGAAGCACCTCTTTTCTTGGGAGCTATTGTCATTTTGGTCTAGAATTGAGATTTCCCTGGCTACCTGGAACACTTCTGTGGGAGCAGAATAAAAGCTGGGAAGAATGTGTCTTGAAATTTAGAAAGGCCTTCGGACAGTTCCTACATGCAACAGAGGGTCTTGAATGATGATTCCATTTGATACCAGCTTCTAGCAGCCTTTTAAAGATGACTCCCCCCACCCAAGTTGAGGGAGTTTATTCAAACTCATGTTCTGCTCTGCTTGCTCTTCACTAAAGCTGTGTTTCAATTTCTGGTTGGCAGGTTTTTGTTTGTTTGTTTGTTTGTTTGTTTGTTTGTTTTTTTCAGGCTCAACATTACTGTAGTGTTTGAGTTGACCCACACTTGCTTCATCCCAGACCACAGACACAGAAGTGAGTGGGTGTGCGAAGACTGGTTGGTGCTGAGTTGCACAAGGTAGATTGGGCCAGTGGATCAGAGGTCAGCCTTTACCTCCTAAGATTAGTTACCCCTTGTCAATGCCGAGACTCCTCCCAGGTTCAGGCACATTACCCTGCCCCTCTGCTTCTTCTCCCTCCTCCTCTTCACTTGTGCTTTGGGCTCGAGATGATAGGCTATTTCTAAGTAGCCTATTTGGGGTGGGAGCTCACTGTACAGCCCGTGGTAGCCTCAAAGTCACAGTTCTCCTGCCACTACTTTCTGAGTGCCACGAATTCAGGTGTGAGCCACCACATCCAGCTCAAACTACTTGTTTCAGGTTTGCTTTCTGTTGGCTATATCATAACTCACCTGGATTACTGTAGCTTTGTGTGTTTAGCTCAAACCTCTTCCAATTATTGACTCTTCTTTGTCATTTTTCTTATCTTTAAAACAAATACCAGAAAAGCAGATAATAACTTGCTTTTCTACCTTGTCCATTGTTTTAGCAGTGATTTCCAAGTGATTTTGAAGAACAGAATATTAAAAGAGACATGTCTGAAAAGTGCCTTGTGCTTCCTTGTATTTCACAATGATTTCAAGTTGATTTTTCTACAGATAATAATCATAACTACATTCAAGACAAAAATCATCTAAATCAATATATTTAAAAATATTTTAAATAAACTTTCAAGATCTGTTTTAAAATATAATTCATGTAAAAACATATGCAATTGAATCTATCCCCAGGGTGTTCTATGTTGCCATTATAAGCAATGGAAAGATGTTTCTCTAAATTATAAATGCACATTGCCTTATGGTAGAAATTAGACTAATAATGTGCAGCAAATGAGGAATTCCAGGTCATATGCTAATGTTAATATACTTAATATACTGCACCTAAAACTTAATAATGTGAGTTGAAGTATCACTCCTGTGCTTCCTTAGTGTTTACAGGCTAGATTTGAACTACTGTTATTTTGCAAGAGAAGTTACAAAGCAGCTGTGCTATCGTTAGACTTATCAGTATTCCCTATCAGACAGCACAGTGCAAACAACCAAAGACACAGTCTTGCTGAAGTTTCAGCCACTTGGGTAGACACCCATAGCCAGTTAGATTGCAATTAATCAAAAGAGCTAGTTAGGGTCATTAAATACTTAGGAACATTTAGAATAGAGCTGAATACATCAAAAATATCTACATGTGTGTCTGTGTCTAGAGACATGCACAATTCATAATGATCAAGGGAATCGTGGGTAATGAACGTGACAGCTCATTACAAACCCCTAGTAATCCCTTTCATACCTTGAAGTTGAATGAATTACCATTTCTTCCAGGACAAGTTCTCCCTCCTCAGCATGGCTTGTCATGAGCCAGTCACAGGGGTTCTCCCCTTAGCTCTTCTGAACCAACAGCCCCTTCTGTCTCCATCATGTAAGAAGCTTGCCCAAGTCTCTCTAGTGCTTCTCATGCTCTGGCCTTGCTGCTGTTACCTTTACTGGATCACACCTCCCTCCACCTCTACCTCCCCTTTCTATTCTTATCTCAAGCATTTTTGCTCTTCACAGAACTAAGAGCCTGCTATAAAGTGTCTTAGCCCTTCAGCCCTTCAACTGGAGGAAGAGTCCTGACAAGGACAAAGAGACATCTCTGTGCTGACATGCCCTTACCTCCCTGTACTGCAGAAAAGTCAGCTCTCCGCTGGCTCCCAAACATTGACTGAGACTGGAGAAGACGACACAGTTTTCCCTGAGGTCATGGGCAAAGAAAGACAGGAGAAGAGGAGCTGGAAATCTCCAAAGGGGAGAAATTTGGATCACTGTCTCTGAGACTAGAAGGCCTTCCCCGCAGACTTCAGCTGATAGTGGCTTACATGTGTCAGGAATGAGACTGGGGAGCAACAACCTAGGAAGATCTGAGTCCTGAGAGCTCAGGGAAGCCCCACTCTTTGAGGAAGTGCATGGCTTAGATAAGGATGCTCTCTGAAGTAAGCAGGGTAAGGTGAATGAAGGCAGTCACATGCTCTGCACCTTAGTGTGGGCTGACCCAGGGCTCTGACCATGGATTTTGAGTGGGTTTTGGGGATCAGCAATATATCTGACATGGATTTCTTTCTGAATCCTGCCAGCAGAGTTCCAAGGGTATGGGCTCTATTGTCACAAGCCAGTGGCCAAGGGTTTTCCCACCTAAACTTTGAGTCACCTTGAACAGAAGTGTGGTCTGTGACTCCTTTCTCCAGCTTTAGGGTAATGATGATGGCTTTTGATCCCTGTAAATGTTTGTTGAATGATGGTGATATTGCAAGCCCCATTTTAGAGCACATTTTGTTGGGGGAGATTGTCCTATGACCAGATTTGAAAATTTTTTATCTTAGTAAATCACATTTAAAAAAAAAAGAAGAAAAGAAATACAAAAACAAATGAACAGATAGCAAAAACTCAAACAAGTAACAAACAAAAAAGCAAAAACCTATATCAAAACCTCATTTGAACAATAAGTGAAAGAACATGTTTTTGTTTTTTCTTTTTCTTCTTTAATTCCTTACTTACCACCTTCCTTCCTTGCTTTCTTTTCTTAGTGGGTCCATAGAAGGTCACAAATATTGCCAGTAATTAAAGCGCAAAGGTAGTCATTTTGGGTATGGATAAATGGTCAGGTAAGCACTTCTTTTCTCTGATTTTAATATCTGGCACAGATAATCCATGGCATTCGGGACAATTTTCCTTCAGTGGTTTATTTTATCATGTTAATGAGATTTGGAGAGACTGCCTGGGTTTTGTTTCAACTTGTGAAGTGGTTGCCCAGATTTTGCACACAGCGGACTGGATGGGAGGATCCCATGATCTGAATCAGGTGTGTTCCTGGCACCGAGTGGACTCAGAGCAGGCGGGTCCGGGTTTGGGAGTGGGGAAGCTCAGAGCAGTGTCAGCGAAGGGGACGCGGGGAAGGTTGGGCGGCAACCCCCTCGAGGCAGAAGAGGGGCGTGGGAGAGCAGGCAGAGGGTGGACCGGGACCGCTTTCCCGGGGAGTGAGCTCCCTGGCGGCCGCGGGGAGCGTAGGGCAGGCTCGGGCAGCTCCAAGGCGGCCCCGGAGGTGATAAAACTTGAGAAATAACTAGGAGGGGCCACCCAGCGTCTCCCTGCTCCAATCCAGTTTCAGACAAGAACACGCTCCTGGGCAAAGAAGCTTGAGAGCGGCCAGAACGACTTCTAGACAAGCAGCTGCGAAAAACCTCCTGCGCCCTGGCTCTCAGGGTCCCCGCTAGGAGCCAGCCTGCGTCCTTCTGAGGTGCACCAAGCAATGGCCATCGCTGGGCTCCAGAAACCCTGGTGCGGAGCCCTCTGCGCACAGCTGCTGCTGGCCCTCTGGGTAAGTTACCTGGGGTTGCAATCCGATGGGAACCCAAATGGGAAAGAGAAAGGGATGAATTCGCCCTGGTTGCTGCGGGGGCACAACAGGTGACAAGTGATGGGCTAAGTGTCTCTGATCAGTTCTTGACTGGTTTAAATTCGGACTGGAGAGGTGACAGGCGATAAGTCATCATGCGACTATGCGACCCCTTGAAACTTAGTTTTTTTTCCCCCCCTGGGCCGCCATAGGCGATACCTGAATTAGGAGTGGTTCTCTGGCTACTCTGCGCTGGTGTCTTGGTTCTGGGTGGGCAGCGGATGCTATTTGCTCCTTGCCAGCAGCTCCTAAATTGGAGTGGTGATTGGGACTAGGGAGCCTTGAGTGGAAAGAAAGGACGACAGTTTGGGGGGGGGGTGTATTTAGGAGCCTTGACCTAGCAAAAGACAGATGTGGTGGGACTCAGGAGCTTTCTTGCCTCAGAGTTTTGTAGTGTAGGGCCAAAGTTGTGTCCCTGGGATGTTATCCTCGGGTTTTCTCTGAGAAACCGTGTTCTCAGTTTTTCCTCCCCTAAAAGATTACTCCAAAGGCTCGCTTGAGCTGCCACCCCCGTGCCAGCTCGCGCGTTCACCTACGCTCTGTGTGCTGGAGATCCAGGTGTGGGAAGGCTGCAGAGGGTCGCACCGGAGTTCCATGGGGGTGACAATAGGACTGGGGTCGCAGGACTAATAGACCCAGGGCAAGATGCAGTTGGTGTCTCCAGTCTGGCTCTGGAGAGACACTGTTCCAGTGCAGAGCTTCTTCTGAGATCTCAGGGTTAAACTCCTGATTTGCCTGGAAAAGTGGTTAATGACAGTTTTCTGAGAACCAGGAAAACTTGAGTGGAAAATTAGGAATTCTGGGTGCATGGTAGCCTGTAAAGCGAGCAGAGCATGTGACCACTTCGATGCTCCAAAGACATGCAAGAGGTTCAGGGGACCAGAGGAGCTGGGCCACTGTGTTATGTCAACCTTGTTTAGTTGTTTGCTTTCTTACTTTTTAAGAGTGGTTCAGGCTGACCTTGAACTGTCTACGTAAAGACAGGCTCATCTTGCCACCACTTTCTCTGTGCTGTCATTACAACCATAAATCATCTTCTCTGGGTCTAAGTTGATGGCGGTGGGGCCAAGTCTCATCCCCTCTTGAACCAGAGAGCGACAGACGGATATCAGACTGTGTTCAAGATCGGGAATACATTAGGAACCAGAAAAATTGCAGACGAGCCCAGCGATCTTCCTGCAACAGTAAGAGTTGCGGTTGGAAGTTACTGTAAATGTGGCCCCCTCGAAAGTTGTGCTCTCCTGGGATAGATGTGTTGGAATGAATTTCCAACAGTTTTGTTTAAAAATATGACTTTGCTGCTTACATTTTCACTGAGAGAGGAATTAGGAAACAAGGCGAAGAGACTCCAAGTGTTTTGTTCTGAGGATTAGGGGCACTAGCCAGAAAGGAGGGCACAGGGCTCTATGACAGGGACCTGTGGATTCAGGGTTCTGGTGGGTCGAGGCTGGACGGTGCAAACAACAGAATCAACTCAGCTCAGTGGCGTGTTCCTTCCGGTTGTTGCAAGAGGAATTGCAGAGTTTAGGTTAACAGTGCACTCGGAGATTGGAGCATGTATACAGGTTGGGCGTTTCTCTCCCCAGAAGCCTCCAGTTTACAGATGTGTTGAATTCCACAACTAAGTGTTTTTTTCCCCTAGCAATCTTCGAGCATAACATTAATGGGGCATTTTAGAAGCACCTTTAATTACGTGGAGATTAGGCATGGAACTCTAAAAAAACAGTGACCTTTTTGAGGAGGGCTTTTCAAAGAGGCTTTAGCACATGTCAAAGACTCAACATGCTTAATACCTCACCCCCTCCCGCCCCCCGCCACCGGTTATAGGCAGGTGGAAGAAACTTCCAATTGGCAAGTTCCTGCATCTCTTTCCCACCTCCACTCTGAACTGCCATAGACACAGCTCAGAAAGGAGACAGATTAGGAAAACAAAGTAGGAGAAAGACAGCCATCTCACTAGTAGTGAAAGCTCTTCAGTATCATTTTTAGATTTTCCTCATTTAGTGCGACAACAGATTATCAAGAGTGAAGAAACTAACACTAGATCAGCTGCTCTCTACCTGTCATGGAAGATGGGATCTCTAATCTTTATGTTTAATGCAGTTCTCCACATCAGAACTGTCATTGCAGGCCCATGTGCTTTTATAATTTATAAATGGTATATTTTTGAGAGAGTCTACCATTTTCCTAAAGGACTCCTCTTTCAAGATTCCCCTGTCCATTCTGTCTTCCCTTCTTAGCGTGTATAAACGTACCTGCAACCGATGTTGGCAAACATGCCTTCCATCTTTTCAGGTTGTATAATATTAACTAACGGGGGACCCCGTTACCAGGAAGACTTTGCTCTTGAGGATATTTGGCATACTTAGAATAAAAGGGAATATAGAAATTTATATTGACTTTTATTAGTGAAAGTGGATTACAGCAAATAAAGTATTAAAGGGGGAGAATCTTTATCTTAAAGCCTCATTGTAAGAAAGTCAGAGTGTAAGCCAAGCACAGTGACATTTGCCTTTAATCACATAGACTGAGTCAGGAAGATTGCTAGTCTTCATAGTCTTGTCTACATAGCAAGCTTCAGACCCGTGAGGCTGTATAGTAAGATCCTACATGACAATAAAAGGAAGGAAAGAAAGTCAGAGTTTTAATGTGTGTTTAGACTGCTACAGTGTCTCTCCCACTCCCAGGTAATCCCAGAGCTCACACTTGGTTATTGACAACTTTGTAAACGAGGTTGTTGATAGTCATATTGTGATGACTAGGTCTTGAAGCAACTTTTGACTGTGGATGAATGCAAAGCCGTGCACATTTTTTTGACCCTGTTGTAATCCCCGTGCCCGGTGTCTTCCATATATGGCGTCTCTGCAGAACTGTGGTTAGTCACACTTCCCACTGAACCAGAATTCCATCTTACAGTGAGTTTGGTTAGGAGGAAATTTATTAGAATCATCAAATGCTGTGACTGCAGAGTTGTAGATCTTAGTGTTTGGTTTCAGTTTTCTGGAGGTGGTAAACATTTGAACGCTAGTGTTCCCATGTCATGGAGGATGTGTCCACGGGAGAAAGGAAAGGTCTAAATTCTAGTGTCAATTACTCTGCTCAGTCTGGGTATCCTTGGTGCCGCAGGCGGGACATCCATGGCGTCAACTGCCATTCTTCTTCTGCATCTCGGCTACTGAACCCAGGGCACATGCCCTGCCGCTGAGCCACACCCAACCCCGTTCTGTAGCTCCGTTTGCTCTGGTGGGGGGAGGTGTACTAGGCAAGTCTCTTCTCTGCACTGAAGTCATAAGACCAACCTTCTCAAAACCAAACAGTTGCAGGCGGCTGCTTTAATTTTCCACTTGGAGTTAGATCTTTGCATCAGAGTTTAATGATAATTTCTCATAATTTTGCAATCACATCACTAAAAGAAAATTATAGAGTACTGTAAAATAAAACCAATTTTGTTACATTTTAAGGCTATTTTAACATTATTTTCCAAATAAGGTATTTGAAGTTACTCTTGAGAGGTCTTTGTTTATTCGAGTTGTCAATGAATTCATCAATTTTTTTTTAAAATAAAGTCTTTTATCTTATATTTTTAAAATGTATTGCGTTTATGTATTTATTTTTGGAGAGCCTATATAATGGTACATGTGTGGAAATCAGAAGACAGCTTGTGGGAATTAGTTCTCTTCTTCTGCCATGAGTTCCAGGGGTAGAATCTAGGCTTGTATGTGGAGGTCAGAGAGAAAAATGTAGAATTTAGTTTTCCCTTCTACCATGTGTGTTCTGGAGACGGAACTCAGGTTGTCCAGCTTGTGGGTAAGCCCAAACGTTCTGTTCTTCTTTAAATTCAGTAGACCAGCAAGAAGTGAATAACCCAGAGTTATACAGAATGGATACAGAACAGAATTCTGACAACAGAAGTGTGTGGACTCTTCTTAGCTCACTTTCTGAGGTCCCTGTGCGTTGAGAAAGTCATCTCATGTTGCCATGGACGTCATGTATGGGAAACAATGAAATACAAAACCCATGATGGGTCTAAAAGTTATGTCCTAAGAAGCATTGCCCCAGGAAATGGAAACATCTACAGTTTGTGTTATAACATGCTAACGATATATTAGGAAAACAAAACTGTCGTCAATTCCAAATAAGCAGACAATTCAAATTTATCATTTAAAGAAATTCTTGGCAAATTGGTTATATGGGAATGGTCTCTCTTAACTCAGTGAAATATACGTAACAAAACTGAACTGGGCTGGAGAGACAGCTCAGTGATTAAGAGCACATACTGCTCTTGCAGAGGATCCAGATTTGGTTTCCAGCACCCACTTAAACAGGCTCACAACTGCCTTTAACCCCAGCTCTAAAGAATCTGATGACCTCTTCTGGCCTCTGTGGGAATTTCCACTCAGGCGCACATGCATACACATACACACATTCTTCAACTCTCTTTCTAGCTATATTATCTATTTATCATCTATCTATCTATCTATCTATCTATCTATCTATCTATCTATCTATCTATCTATCATCTATCATCTCTCTATCTCTCATTCACTCATAAACAAATTATATAATTCAGTTTTTTTAAGAATTTAAAAAGAATGATTGAATGTAATGAAAAGAGTAAAAAGACACATAAATAATGGTGAAATAGTAAACATTCTCTTTAAGCTGAGAAACAAAGAAAATTTGACCATTGTAACTGTTTTTTTTAATATATATATTCTATTGGAAGGCCAAATAAACACAAGCATATGTATGAAGGGAGTTACGGAAGAGGTATAGGGAGGAGTGAAAGAAAATAATACCAGCGGACATTGTTTGAGATGCAGGACCAGCTTTGCAGAAGGGAGATCAGGTAACCATACTATAGCTAACAAAAGTCAGCAAATTTCTTTCATATAAGGTCAATTTAAAATAATTTAAAAGTT